TATAGGTACTCACGAATATAATTTTTAATCTAAAATAAATGTAATTGTATGCTTTTAAGTGCATATTATTTTATTGTATTATTAATTCCGTTTATAATTGTATTAATATAATAATACACAGTTGTGCATAATATATACTATATTTTTTAAATATTTTTTAATACATATTATGTGATAAACATTTTGTTAGAAGTTTTTAAAAATGATTATGTTAATTTCACAATCTGCATATTAAAATTAAAATTATTTATTTTCATTATTTTGTACTAGAATTTATTGTACTTACTTATTTTAAGTTATTTAAAACGGTTAATTTACTATATATATTGTAATTAATTTACGCTTAACAACTTAATGATGTTAAAAATTCTGTATTATATCAATAAGTTAGATGACCTTGTATGTCAGATATACTTTAATTTAATTTAAAAAAAAAATTTTAAAACGGTTATTACGGYGACAAGTTTTAGTTTTCTATTTTTCGTGTTGTAATGTTATAACATTATACTGTTATAACAGTATACTGTTATAAATAATGATGATGCCTGGTAGTGTTAATTGTGACTATTTGACCGACACATAATTTCTTAGGTACACAATGATTTTTATCTATAATCTTGGGAATAAAAGTCGCTTTGAGGCATTTAAATTTCTGTATCATTGAACTATAGTTAAATATACCAGTGTAATAGATAAGTAAATAATAAATGTCAAAACAATTAGTTAATGCGGTTGGTGGTATTACACCTAATAAAACTTGTTATTATTAATGTCGTCATTAACTATTTTTCTGAACCTTATCAAATTGAGAAATCTAGAAACTTGGTCAACCGTAGCTTTAAAATAACATAAAAAATGAGCATATGCCATGTATTAATTTTAATTATAAATTTTACCTTAGTGATATATTCATTTTTTTCCCTTTGTATTCATTACGATTTTTATCAGGTAGGTACATTATTATAGTTTTGCTTGTTTGATTTACAGCAATAATTTAAGTACAATGTACCTAGCTATTTTGTTCTAATAATTTGTCAACTGAGAGTCTCAGATCCTTATTACATGTTTTTTTTTTTTCGAAAATGTAAGTTTATTGCAATCATGTTTATTCGTATTAATTTTCCCGTTTTCCTGTGTAAGAAAAGACGGTGGCCAGTCTTTTTAAGTGGAAATCCATTTTTTTTTAGAAGATTTAACTTAATTATATTTAGTGTTTCACTGATAAATTGTTCTATTTATTATTAATAATACTTTTAGAACCTATTATACTAATTTTATATTTCATATTATTTACTACTATATTTCTTTACCAAAAACTTATTTACGTAGCCATATATTATTTAGTTTTTAAATTGGATGTACATGAGAACATCTAGGTATGTTGTGTTTCGATGTTCAGACTTATTACAACTATTTTTTTGTTAAATTGCTACATCGCTGTTAGAAATTAATGATAGGACATTAATGTAATAATGTTTCATCTCAATATCATGAACATTACTAGTCGTTATTATTATAATAATTGAAACTTTATTTTTTCGCAGTACCTACTACCACCTACCTAGGTAGTATAAATTTATTTTTGAAACTGGGTAGCGCACGTTTGTAATATTTATGGTTTGAATTCAGTGAGTCATTGAATAGTGTAATTTTATATCGGGTGTTTATTCCCCTCATATTCATTACATTAATTATATACTCCTCGGTARTATTTTTATATTAGCAAACACGAACACTTTGTGCATATATTTATTATTTAGCCCCCTACATTTCTTCAATTTCCTGTTCATTACTGGCGGCAAAGACTATATAATATAGTAGTTAGTAGTTACTATAGTTAGAAGGTTTAACGTGATCCCGGTTACTTTATTATTATTTGTGAACATTCTTTTCATTATTAAATATAAATTATTGTATTAGATAGGTAACTATTTTAGCTTGAATGTTCAAAACATAGAATTCTGACTTTGACTAAATTTGGTTTATCTATGTTATTGTATATGTATTTAAAACATATATCAAATTGTCATAATATAACAGTATATTACAGATCACATTCATATCAACATTTTCATCCTTACGAAATTTTATAATATGCAGTTTTAGATTWAAAAAAAAAAAAMCAATAATATGTCATTGTTTTCTACTTTTGTAAATTAACTTTATATTTTTAAGAAAGTTATTCAATCATAAAGAATTTAAAAAGTGTATCAACTGTTTTCGTTAAATTAATCGTAATGATCAATACACGTGATTTTTAAATCTACAAGTAAGGAATTATTGTGTTTGAGTCTTTGAAGTGAATGTATTAGGTTAATTGATAGATTAACATAAAATATTGRTACTCTATTTAATATTATATAATATGGTCTTATGATTAATTCAGTAAAATGTAAGCATAATTAATTTTAATGTTTCTAAATCGTTTATTCTTGTAGTTATTATTTATTTACTACCTATTTAAATCTCCGTAATGTTTATATGAAAAACCTTTTTTACATTACCGATGTACAAAAATATGACGATTGGATGAATTGAGACATTTATACCTATAATCGGCAGGCGAGACTAATCAGAAATATATGTAATGTATTCACATTTGACCAAAGAATTGTTTCGATCTATAGTAGAAAATTATACTATATTCATAAATTAATTATAAAATATATATTAACCCTTTATCTAGCTGGTTTATGATGTAATATAAAAATGGTAGGTGTGGTACCTCTATATTTTATTAAGTATATAATTCGTGTGCTTGTAAATTAATTTATATCTAATTAATGTATTATATTGATATTGAAAATTTGTTATCAAATTAAATAAACCAGTAATTGTTAGATAGATATAAAATTATAAATTTCAAATCAATTTATTGATATTTTTTTTCATAATATAATTTTTTTTACAAGTTAGATACACTATTTCAATATTTATCACTATATCACTAATATTTCAATAATTTAATTTATTTATTTGAATGTGCTTGTTTGTCATGCTTGTATCTATATTATGTGATGAAACCGTGTATTTTGGTTKGATTTAATATTGTTTGTGGTTTGTTTTGTGTTACTCTTTCCACAAGTATCACCGACATTATTTTACGACTACTACGGTTTTTTCTCCTAAATAATTGAGTAATGCTTTTTTACGCTTCGGTGGGGGAAATATTATTCTAAGTGAAAAAAAAAACAGATAAATAAATAAAATATTTGTAGACCACCTTCATTGAAACACACGCAGCTGTATTTTATTTCGATACTCCTTACACTACGCATACAAGAATAGGGCGCATTATATATTTGGAACTCAGAGACAATGCACACATCATACACACACATATACATACATAATATGGTCTTTGAGCTTCGCCTCTGTCTCCTCTTCTATAATCTTTTATGTCGTTCACATAAAGGCGTAATTGTCTTTGCATAATGCGCGAGTGTACAGTGTACATCACTGATATGTTATATTATCTTAGGGTAAGATAGAGAAAGAAGATGGCTCAGATACGAAAAAAAATGGGAAAGGTGTTACATCAGGTGAATGACTTGGTATTCTGTTTATGGTAAAGGTAACAGGCGGAATGGTCCACCGATCCGCGTACAAAAATATAAAAGAAACTAACGATTATACTAGTAAAGAGTGTAGACTATAGACGGAGATCTTATTATTATCATTATCATTATTATATTGGAACAAAACAATAGTTGTTCTCCAACAAATGTATTATTTATTTTTTATAGATACAACTGTAAAAGTTACTATTCTTTTTTGTTTTGAAATATCGATAGTGAAAATTGTATGTCGACTAGTTCGTGACTGTTATTTCCGTGTAAAATTACAACAAAATGACATTATTCGTTTTGCAATGTTCTGATTTTCTCAATATTTTAATGATAATTTGATAATAACTTGAACATCAACAAATTTTATTATACATTAAGATTAACAAAGTACTAATTTTAATGTATACAAAAAATATGTTTAGTTTTAAATTATTTTTTTGAAATAAGCCTTACGAGAAACTGCTCGTTTAGAATATTGAACAATCAATTCGAAATTCTATAAACTTATAAAAAACTGCTTGGACTTAAAATACATTTTTATAATTTAATTTAAGTAAAGAATAATAATATTATGCCATGAATAATCAAAATAAAATGTGCAACGAAGAATATTCTTGTGGTTTTTTTTGAAGTACTAAAAGTACTAGAAATGCTTTAATGCATTTAAATATTTATAATCACTGAAAATATTGCAATTGCGTGTTTATTTTCTGTGACTCGATTTTTTTGATAAATCATCTACCGATTTTTGTCTATAAGAATTTATCAAGGTTTTTTTTTAATAATATTTTGGTGATATACTTGCATATGCTACATGCATTGTATTACTTAAACTGCTAGTTTTACAGTGTTTATTTTTGTTCGGTTTCGGAATTTATTGTTAAAATATCGATAAATAAAACATTGATGTCAGGTGTCAACAGTAAATTAAAATAATTTTAAAGATTATATATTATAATACATTTTTAAATTAAAAAGTTTAAATTGTTCTTTTAACATAAATATGTTTTTGAACTGGTCGTACGATATTATAGTATGTTTATGACTATTTTTTTCGTAAGGTTTTTTTGTAATTTTATTCAATTACGATTTTATTTATTATTATATTACTATAAAAATAATGATTGAAATTTTTTACATTTTTACAGCAATACAGCTACCTACTAATTTTATAAGTTATTTAGTGAAATAATTTCTGAGCCTTAATGTAAAATATAATCCAAGTGAAATCTACATGGTAGTTGCTTTTGCATAGTTGAGGTCAATTCACCATGACTGGTAACATAAATCCAATTCTATCTGACCTCATTGTATTAAGTTAACAGAAATATTCTTATTTTATTTGGATTACCAATGTTATGATTAAAGATTATATGTTAAGTATATTTTATAGAGTACAATATTTAATTACAAATATGTATCTGTTCACAGCATTAACAGCAAGCCCAATAATGCCAGGCGGAACCCCTGCTGCTAAGCTAAAAGTAAACATTTGATAAATTATAATTTATATTTTATAAATGCAAAATACAAGTTGTTATAATTAAATGTATTTATTTTACATTATCATCAGGACCAAGTACCAAGAATTAAGGTAGTGACTGCTTTATATCCCTTTAAAGCAATTGAACCAGGAGATTTGACTTTAGTTAAAGTAAGTCAAAACATGATTCATATTTATATTAATTTTATATTTTGTTGGTATACTATTATTTAATTTATTGTTTTATTTTTATTAATACAATTTCAACGATTTTAGGGATGTGAATATGATGTCATTGATGATTCTCAAGATCATTGGTGGAAAGTAAGAGATGAGCATGGGTAAGCAAATAAATATACTTACAATAGTATCAAACATTGCGGTTCATTATAATTTTAATTAAAATATTATTTAAAAAATGTTACAGTGCTATAGGCTACATTCCTAGTAATTATGTTAAAGAAAAAGAATTTCTCGGGCTTCAAAAATATGAGTGAGTATTATTATAGGTACTTAAATAGTTAAATGTAGTATAAAGTTAAATATTAAAATTTAAATAAACCTATACAAAAATAACTTTATTTTTACTTAAACATATGTTTTATATTTATTATGCTCATGRCTTTCATTTCATGAATACATTATATACATATATATTGGCAGGTACTTATCGGCTTATCGATTATTATTACACTACCTATACAATTTTTATGGTTCTCAGTTCTATTCTATTATTGCAAACAGGTCAACACTGTTTTATATAATTTCTAGGCAATTTTGTCATCATAAAATAATATATAAGTTGGTGTGCTGAATATAACTTAAAGCATACTACACATAAAAGTGATGTACAGCTGCTAAAAACCCAATTCTCATTAACTCTCACTTTTTCACTTAAAAATCTRAGATTTAGCATAGAATGAAAATTTGCTCTGAATTTTCCACAATATCTTATTGAAACGATAGGCCACAAACCCAAATTATACTTAAAACAGATGTTTTAGAATTGTAATGTAGAATTGTATAATAAAAAAAATAATTAAATATCTATGCTGTGTGTTGAAGAGAATTGATTGGTTGGAATATGCTTTACACCAGTTTCTCTCAACCTATGGTAGCTGGTATAAAAATATTGAGAGTCATTGCTTTACGTTTTAAGTTTTTGGTAGACATAATTATACTATTTTGTCTTGTAAATTACTAAATTTCATCAATATAATATAACTCAGTGTTAACTTGTGTTAAACATACCATACATGATACAATTAACCACACGAAAGATTTTACAAAGGTTGTATATTATACTAGTTGTACCTACTTGCACCACCCGGTATCTGACACACATTAATACGACTTATCGTACTACAATTTGTTCAACTTATTGTATGTATTGGTAGGAGCTGCATAATACTGTTAATCAAATCAATCAAACCTATTATACAGAGGTCCAYGTATGTTATGATTTGATGTATGGCAGACTTGTCGTACGATAGATTTTATACAAGTTCAAACTTCATCTTGTCGTACTACTCGTTTYACAACAATAACATGCACGTTACAATAATCATTTATGAGGTTGTATCAAACAAAGTTGTACAATATATCTACGATTAATTGTATCATGTATGGGCCGCTCTAGTTGCAATAACTGAATAAAGTTTACAGGAATATTGTTTAGGTATTTGTAATAACTAATAAGTGGTTTATTTATTAATTATTATAAGGATTGAAAACTAATATTAAAATTATTTATACCAACTACTGTGAATCGTTCATAATTGTATTATTAATGTAAAACATATTCAATTTTCATAACATTTATCAAAAACATTTTTATTTTAAGATGGTATGTTGGAGATATGTCAAGACAGAGAGCTGAGTCTCTTCTCAAACAAGAAGATAAAGAAGGATGTTTTGTTGTTAGAAATTCGTCAACCAAAGGTCTTTATACACTATCTCTTTTTACAAAAGTGTAAGTTTTARAAAAGTTTTATTACTTTTTAATTTTGACAAATTATATTTATCATGCTCATCAATACAAATATGTATGCATATTATAACATGCATGCAATTTAAATTGTATTTTATACTTCTAATTACTTAGTTAGATAGTATTAAAAAACCAAGAAACAAAAAAAATTTTTCTAGCAACATTTTGTAATAGTGGTGATGAAAACTAAGATGTTGTGTTGTTTTACATCAAAGGTACTTACGCTGCCTTTGTAAATTAAATAAATTTAAAACTATGTGTATTAGGTTTTTAGCTAACTTAATCATTTAACACTCTAGAATCAAAATTTTAATATTAAAAAGTTTATAGCAATTAGTATGGTTTGGAAGAAGTATACATAGAAATAAAATAAAATATTTTACTGTTTGGGCCCATCATAAGAAGAGAAAAAAATGTAATATTAAAAAGTTAATTTTTTTAAGTTGATTGTTGGTGATATTTGTTTTTAATTGTGTTGATAAAATATTAATTATGTTTAAACTCATTATTATATTATTATATTTATTGTAGGCCACACTCTCACGTGAAACATTATCATATTAAGCAAAATAGCCGAGGTGATTTTTTTTTAAGCGAAAAACATTGCTGTTCAACTATTCCAGAATTAATTAATTACCATCGTCATAATAGTGGAGGATTAGCATCACGTTTAAAAGCCTCTCCTTGTGATCGACCTGTTCCTGCTACCGCTGGCCTTAGTCATGGTAAAAGCTAAAACTATTTTACTCAACTTTTCAGTTATTTACTTATATTGATTTGTAGACAAATGGGAAATAGATCCTGCAGAACTAATGTTGTTGGAAGAATTAGGTTCAGGTCAGTTTGGTGTAGTACGCCATGGTAAATGGAAAGGGTCTATTGACACTGCAGTCAAAATGATGAAAGAAGGCACAATGTCTGAAGATGATTTTATTGAAGAAGCCAAAGTCATGACGTATGTCTATTAAACAATTTATGCAATTCAAAGCAAAAACACTGRTTTCATTGTTTATTTAATCATATTATATTTTAACTTCTCTTATTTAGGAAACTCCAACACCAGAATCTAGTCCAACTTTATGGAGTTTGTAGTAAACATCGTCCAATTTATATAGTTACCGAGTATATGAGACATGGATCACTACTGAATTATCTCAGGCGACATGAAAATAGTTTAGGAGGAAACAATGGCTTATTACTTGATATGTGTATTCAGGTAAATGTCTTTTTTTGATGCATTCAAAAATAAATTATACTTTTACTAAAATAATTATTTTTACCTTTAGGTTTGCAAAGGGATGGCCTATTTAGAACGTCACAATTACATACATCGTGATCTTGCTGCTAGAAATTGTTTAGTGGGTTCAGAAAATGTTGTAAAAGTTGCAGATTTTGGATTAGCCAGGTATTTTAACAATTAGATTTCACATAATAGAATAAATAGGTTTGTATTCATGTTATACATACAAACCTATATTATCAACTTGTTTATCATAGATAGTATTATTTATTCATTTTTTATGTTTTAAACTTTTAAATAGTAATTCTTGTCTAGTGATTAGGTTGTGAATGTTGTACAACCCTGAAACTTAAGATTTCTTATCCTGGTATTTGCCTTTGCATGTAGATCTAAATAAAACCAACTTAATTTAAATAACTACTTATATTCTTATATAAATACATTAATATTACCTTATGTATGATTAAATTAAAATTTTTAAATTATTGTTAGGTATGTACTTGATGATCAATATACAAGTTCTGGCGGTACCAAATTTCCCATTAAATGGGCTCCTCCTGAAGTCTTAAATTATACTAGATTTTCTTCCAAATCTGATGTTTGGGCTTATGGTAAGCATACAAATCACATTTACATTTAAACTTAGTATGTATGGAATATAATAGTTTATTTTATTTTTAGGTGTTTTAATGTGGGAAATATTTACTTGTGGTAAGATGCCATATGGACGTCTTAAAAACACTGAAGTTGTTGATCGTGTACAAAGAGGCATTATTTTAGAAAAACCAAAAATGTGTTTCAAAGAAGTATATGAGGTAAATAAATTTTTGAATAGAAATAAATTAGAAATTAATATTTGTACGCAATTATGATTTTAAATGTCTAATACATTTTCAAAGGTTATGCGTAAGTGTTGGAGTCACTGTCCTGAAGATCGTCCATCTTTTAGATTGTTGAAAGATCAACTAGCTGTCACATCTCAGGTATAAAAAATAACAACTTGTAAAAGTAAATTTAAAATGTAGAATTTATAAATATTATGATTTGTTTTACAGGGTTTAATAGCAGATTGACGTGTCCCAATACAATCTTGTAATTGCGCTATTTGCTTGTTGCTTGACATTGGTTATGAGCCCCTCATAGAATTATGTCGTTTAGTGATAGAAACAAATCGCCGTGGCACTCTTTGAACTTATAAGTTTTATGTTCAGTTGTCAAAATTTTTCAGTGAGTTTATCTACATAAAAATGATCTCGAACTTTGCTATAAGTTTTTAAAAACAATTTCAAATTCTGTTTACTTTTTATACTAATAAGTAATTACTATTTTATTGACATCAATTGAGATATTATACATTCCTTTTATATGCATGTTTTATTGAAAAACTAAACAAATTTATAAWGTTTTTGGTAGGTGCCTATTAGTTTTATACAGGGTTATAAATCCAAAATTAATTTTTAACGGTATTTAAGACGATGAATTTTATTACATGTTTGAACAACAAGTTTATATGTCTAAATAAACAATATTTGCATTATCTACTTTTTAAATCAAAATTTTTCTGAAAAACAATTTTATTTTATGTCTTCCATTTATTGGAAAAAAATATTAACTGTCTAATGTGTTTCATTTAGTGTTTACATTTATTTACCCATGATAATTACTGTGATACCATATTTTTTATCTTTTTATTTTGAATTGAAAACATATTTATAAAAACAATAAAAGTGTTTCATTCATTTTAATCATAATATAATATTGTTAGGCACTGCATAAAGTATGATGATTAATATAAGTATACACGCTGCAACATAATACATTAAGAATAACTTGAAAATAATTTACTTCTTAAAAAAAAAAAAAAAACAGTGGTTTCTATTTAATATAAAAAGTGAAAAGTTGTGTGGATATGTATAGAATACATGAGTTAAAAAAAGTCTTAAGTATTTATGTTCCAATAATCTAGTTTAATATTCCATGAATAAAGTTCATTAATAAAAAAAGAGTACTGAGTTAAAAGGTGTAYCCTATTGCTGTGGAAACAGTAAACACTGTGTTTAATATTATACTGTATACATGGCTATGAAGTAAAAAATATAAATATTTATGATACATTTTGCAGTAGGTTTCAACCTTAAAACTATTATTTTGAT